TTACGAAAAGGGAGTTCGCCTCCTCCCCACTGAAGGATTCGCCTGCAGGGACAATAATCATCCTCTAAAGGCAAGATAGGGCAAACTTTGACCCAAATCGGGGAAAGGAGTAACACTCATCTCCCTAAAATCCGATGCCTAAGACTTACAAAAGATCGTCCAAACGAACCCATCAACATACCTGGGCGCGACTCCAGAGCACCGGCAGGCATGCCGGCGGAGAGACGGTCGGAGTAACGTCCGGGGCCCGCACCCCTCACTTTACACCTCTTAGATTTCGGAGCCATTGTAGGATGAAGCGGGAATTCTTTCCTTGGAGGTTCCTTTCAAGATTGGAGGGCACGGTAACTCCTAATGGAGGAAAATGGCTGATTTAGAAGGGCGGAGTTATCCACGTGGCCACGATTGCCCTCGAGAGGCGAAAACCCTAACGGACAAGAGACGTGGCCACGATCAAATTCGACGGCTCAGATCACCCCCGGTGCATCGAAGGAACCGAGGTTGGCGGTTGCATCCGACGGTTGAGTTTGAAAACCACGGCCACGATGCGTCGCGGGGCGAAACACGCGAAAACCGGGTTGTCGAGTCACGATCGCCACGACCCGATGAGACCGCGCCGCCTTAGCTGGAAAGCACAAAGCCCTATCAGCAGACACGTGGCTCATCTCCCGTCAGATCTGGGCTCGCCTCAAAAAGGAGGGGTTTCGCCTGCAAATACTGGGCATGACCCCGCGAGTTGCGCGAAACTTGGCTCCCGAAGACTAATTTCGCCTGGACGACTCGCTCGTCACTAAAGGTAGCATTATAAACGAAGCCAATAGAATGACCTGGCTTAAACGGTTAAAACCCACGCCTCAGAAGGCTAAGGGTTAGAGCAGAAATCTTAGCATTAGGCCTAAGAGAAACTGTTCGACAACTCATCATACTGAGGGGAATAGTATGGCTAGCCCGATTCAAACGGTGATCGGTAAAGGCACATCAAACCCGTTGATAGCTGAGGATTTGCTAAAAATCCTAAAAGAAATCAGGTGCGCTTACTTCGCCGAAAATTTCTTCATTCAAAGTATTCCAGACCACACGCGAGCCGGTTTAGGTCTGAAAACTTTGAAGGGGGTCTTGTAGACGGAAAAAAATACCTCTATAGGCTTACAAGAAATTCGCCTGTGAGAAGAGCTCGCACGCTCGGTTCTCTGGCGCGGGCCTAAATCGCATAGACGTCACATATGCTCGATTCTAGGTTCGCTTTACGGTCAGCTCGCCAGCATGAGTTAAGATCGATCAGGATGGCGGAAGTTCGCCTTTCACTCAACTCGCCTGCCCGAGTCCAGAGTCGAATCCGCCAGCAAACCCCAAGACCGTCAGTACAGCTGGGTATCCGCTACCCCACGTCCTGAGTTGGGTTTTCCCATCCCTCTCAACCCGATGGGAGAAAGCACAGTCCCCCAGGACCGTCAAACGGCCGCTCGCAGTACGCGCAGCACGAAAGCCTGGACAGGTGTCGAGTCAACCTGAGCATTCATAAATGTGACTCACCTCGGCTGTCTGAGTCAAGAGCTCGATCCGCCGGCACTCGGCAAGCTGGCTAGACCCACTCGAGTACTGCACACCTACTTCACCGCCTCTCCTGACCGGAAAGGAGAAAGCACTGGAGGAGAGGTCGCAAAACTTAGAGAAAAGAGTTGAGACCAAGCTCTCTGCATAATCTTTGCATTGCAGCATCACTGTTTAGTTCCGAGCTCCGATCGCCGGCGAACTAAGCAGAATCGAACTCTATTGCCCCGAGCTTCTACTGCGTACTGAAGCTCTCCAGCAACCTCGATCGAACGGTCCAAGGGAAGCAGACTCGACACGAGCATCGAGCGAAGCGTCCTATAGCCACCTAAAGTCCCCACACAAAACAAAGAGGGCTTTCCCTCTGCTTCTGTTGTAATCATTTGATTCGTTAGTTTGTAATAAGCTTTCTTATAAATACAAACAAACACTCCCTGTTTTCGGGAAATCAAATATTCACCCTACAGTGCCATGGAGTCTAGTCGGAGGAGAAGAGGAACAGTGCTCGCCGGAGATGAGAACGAAAATTTTCGTTAAAGTTTCAAGAATAGTCGAATGACTCTTGATTTGACCTCCAGCGGTCTATTTAGAGACAGCTGTGAGCTGTCAAATCATAACAGACGGGATTCGAGGTCAGAATCCCGCCCAAACTCGATCCTAGCATTCGAGTTGGTTGAAATTCCAAACGCGAGGCTCACCTACGCGTTCAAACTCTCAAGCGCAGAGTTCACCCACGCGTGATGATCAACAGGAGGTACGACGCGGCCTCAAATAAAAAAAATGAGGTCAGCCATCAAGGTGAGCGACTCCACTGGGGAGTCTATCAGATGGGTGCAGGCAGATTACAATCAGCAACGCTAAAACCATCAGATTCGATTTGGAGCGCACCTCATTCTTCATTATCATCAAGGCTCAAAAGCTGTTTTGTTTGGTTCGAGGGAGCAACATTTCAACATTCCGACAACCAGTTTCGCGATGTCTTCAAATCAGACGGAGCGAACAATCAATCTACTAAATTTTGGGATCCAAAGTATTCCGAAAATTCGTCCCAATCAACCGCGAACTTTCGAAAACTTTGAAGGGGGTTTTGTAGGCTGTCTAAAAATCACAATGGATAGCTGATCCCCATCAAGCCCCGACAATGAAAGTTACAATCAGACGACTTTCTAATCACTGCATCCACAACTCTACAGTCGCTACAAATACGGCCTCATATTTGAGATGATTGATCTTGATGGCTATGACAACAACATGACTAATATTATATTAGCAACTATTAGAGATGCTGATGAGCAGTATGATGATTTCAGAAATAAAAGGTTGGACTTAGTTGGTGAGTTGCTTGGTAGAGAGCTGTGGGCAAATATTCGTCTAAATATCACAATGGATAATTAATCCCCATCAAGTTCCAATAATGAAAGCTACAATCAGATAGCTTTCATGCCAACAAACGAAAGCTTCAAACGGATGACTTTTCACATAGATCGAGAAGAGTTACAATTCAACGACACTTCCGACAACTGATGAAAACTCTATTCAGCAGTCTTCACAATCTACAGTGAAAGTTACAATCTGACGACTTTCACATTCCACAACAGCTAAAGCTAGGATTACTGAACAACGGTCCTTGCAACGCTCTGTAGAAGAGGTTACAGATCAACTAACCCCTTTTAAAACGCGGAAGTCATCCCTGCGTTACAATTCTGGAATTGCAGGCGACCCCCGCGTTTCCAAGCTACAACAAGTCAAAATCGAACGACCCTCGCGTTCTTGAGGTTCAACCAACACCCGACCCCAGCGTTTCCAAGCTGCAACAAGCAAAACACGAGCGACCCTCCCGCTCATTGATGTTCAGTCAACACCCAACCTCGCGTCTCAATTCTAAGACGCAAAGTTGGGGTTCTGAATGTCAGATTGGGCGTTTGACTCGTTCAAACATGAGTCGAACGGTTTCAGAACTGTTTTCCCCACGATCTGAGGAAATCACGCCCACTTAGAAGCGGATTTCGAGGGCAGTTACAACCTCTTATCCCCCTATAAAAACTCAACAAACCCAATGAAGTAAAAGGTTGGATTTTCAGCATCTAAACCATACGGTTTTTGGAGGTTCTTCAGGATCTCAACCGCACAGAGAGGCAGGGGAGACGAAATCCTTGGAGATAGGATTTTTTGAATCGAGTTCAGAAGATCAAATCTGAAAGGATTCTTCAACAACAGTAACTGAATCTTCGGTTGTAACAACTCTATTCACAGAGTTCTAACTTGTTCAGAGTTCTTAAACTCGTTAAAGAGTTACCCATTTAAACTTTCCACAGAAGTTCATCGTTCTCACGAGATAAAAGACGGTCGGATCGTTAACGGAGAGCAAATTCGACGCGAACAATCGAATGAGGCACTCCATCGCTACCTTGAAGAACCTAGTTTTAAACAAAGGGGAGAATCAAATTCATTCTCCTCTATCGCTACCTTGAAGAACCTAGTTTTAAACAAAGGGGAGAATCAAATTCATTCTCCTCTCTTTTGTAATCGGAATCCAATTGTAATCGATTCATTCTCCTCTCTTTTGTAATCGGAATCCAATTGTAATCGATTTTGAGAGAATACAAATCAAAATTTTTTTTCGTTTCCTTTACATTGAATTTTTCCACAAACAAGCGTCTCCTCGAAACAATGAAAAATTACTCATTTCTTCAAGAAAATATTGCAAATACTTCATCAGAACTACTCAGCAGTCATCATTTTGAATAAAAAGTCAGCATGGAAGGAGAGAAAAGAAAAGAAGGATAGAAAGAGGGGGAGAGAAAAAAAAAGGTAAAAAACTAAAAATAATACTCAGAAATTTTAAGGCTTTAGACCCGTTTGATTTAAAAATACATGAGCTTTTTGATTTATATTTGACTAATGAACTTAAAGAAGAATACATATACGAAAATTCATAGAAGTACGAAAGTATTACTCGATAAAACCTACGAGCAGTTGCAAACAAAGAATTTTTACATTGTATTTATACATATAAAAAAATCTATGTATACAATAACCTCATAGCTCCAACCTCCACTCATACATATATTTCCACCGAACTTTTTCCCAATAATTTCCTAATATTCTGAGCGTTCTCCAAATTCTGAAATTTTTTGCCTTCGCAGATTGTTTCTGAATGCCAAGTTGTGACTTTCTCGAACCACCGTAAGGTCTCGTTTGGTTGCATAATAACAAGGCTGAAAGCATGACAAAAGCGTTTTGTCAGGCTTTCAGGCTTTTTCTTTTGCAACCAAACGGGGCCTAATTTGAAAGCATCATATAGTCATATCTCTCTCATCACAATTTAATTGTCACTTAATTTTGTATGTGACATTTAATCGGATAATTAATCTTGTTCATGAAATTGTTTTGAACAAATTGTTTTAAGACGAGCCAATAATCAGTAAACATGTTCCTATTGACAATGATTGACAGACAATAGAGGAAGGATCATTAATCAATGCAGAATGCATTTCAAGTAACAAACAAAAACAAAATACTCGTACATTGAACAGTAAAGGAAAAATAACAAAATTATGAAATATTTTTATCTGATAACACAATGTTTGCAGATTAGTACTCAACCGCCACAAAGAGAAGGAAGCTTATATGAGAAAAATGAAGATGGAAGGTGTCCTGCTCTCCTCACATATTCTGCTCTTTCTGAGGTCTTCGCAGCTCGTTCGTTCAGTTTCGCTTCTGCGCTCAATCTCTTCTCCTCTGCTCTTCTCCTCGTGGTTGCGGTCTTACTCGCTAGCTTTTCTTGAGCTCGAGATTTCATTCTCTCGGCCTTCACCTATATAAAAAAAAAACCATACAATTGTTTTACACAAAGAACTACTTACGACGATGGCTCAATTTGAAACTGACACAAAGTGACTAAACCCAGAACTAAAGACTGAAACTTTCTCTTGCGACAGACAGTTGAGAACGTTGTCATCAAATTTTGGGACCAATCAGTTCAAAGAGTTCATATGCAACCTTCTACTCCGAATTCAAACTATGATCTACCATTCCCTGTAGAAAAGTCATACATTCACTATGTTTCTTTTTGAAAAAAAAATGTGTTTACACGCAACTATATAAGTGAAACATTAATTTTCAAATTCAGGCTACGCTTATCGTAGCCATTCCAAGAGAAAATTAATTATCTCTTACCATCAAAACCAAAAATCACTGGTTGGCTAGTATATTACTTACACAAAGGGGAAGATTTTTATGTCCAAGTGCTTTGACTCAATTCTCTCTTGCTATAAAAACTTTAGACATTGCTATCTAATTTCCTAGTTCATTAGCGGATGATAGTGAAGAACTCATCATTCTGAATGACAGAAAAAATCAGCCCAAAAAGTTAAATAACCTTCTGTTTGGAGTTGTAACTATGATCTTCAACACTCGTGTAGAAAAATCATACATTTGCATCTTTTTTCTTCTTTTTGCACAAATCTATGCTTCCAAGTACAGACGTTTAGCATGGAAATTCTCCAGACTCAGGCTCTGTTACTCTAATATTAATTCAGTTTTTGCCGCTTTCACTAATCAAAACAGGATGCTATTCACTTGATTAAGTATCTCATAACAACAAACCGGAAATCTGCTAGTAGAATTTTTGACAAGTAATAACTTTATAAACTAAAAATAAGTACCTCTATCTTCTTCATCCTCATTTCAGCTTTTCTCATCTCCCGATTCTCCCAGGCCTGTATCCTCACCTCCTCTCTTTTATATCTAAAATTTACAGGAACATCAACATCATTAATTTTCCAGAGCTTCAGTGATAAATATACGTAGCGTAGAGCGCTAAATCAGTTAGCTTACCTTGCCATATACTTAGCTTTTTCAGCCTCATCCCAAGCCAAGGCTCTTGATTCCAATGAGCTCAACTTTCCATCAACACCCTTGCTATCGCTCACCGCTGCTCTAGAACTGCATGGCTCTCTCGGGCTCGAATGTCTAGAATTGACAGGACTTCGAGCTCTAAGAGGAGTACCGGTCCTCGAAGGCTCTTTACTAGCAGTAGGAGTCATCTCAGTCCCCATATCCCTCAAAGAAACTGATCTCATTTCGACCGCCACCTCCTCTAATGACTTGTTACTCACATCAATCTTCTTCGTCTCCTCTTCTTGATGCTGAATTGGCAACGCGTCATCAATGCTACCGCAAGAGTCCCTCCCTTTACTAGGCATCGGAGCTAAGAGTCTTCTATCCTCAGCATTTGAGTTCCGAGGCTTGGACGTGGAGTTATGCTTGTGATCTGATAAGCCCATGAGCCACTTTTGGGCGTCGTCCCATTTCGATGGAGTGGGTTTTGCGCGCAAACTTAAGGCCTTTCGGCTGTTAGAGGAGGATTTCATGATGGTGTGGGAGTCAAGATTGTATGATTTAGTGCTCGGATTATAGCAGCCCTTATCATCCACAGATGCCATTTTTTTTTCTTGTGTGTGTGTGTCTGATTTCTGCACAAATCAAGCAAAAGAACTTAGCAAGCTGAAAACTCTAATACTGATGACTCTATACAAGTGATCTTGTTAGATTGCACAGTGAAAAACATTGGCCGAAAGAGAATTTAACTTTGCAATTTGAAGAGAAGGTTACTTAAGAATTTCAACTTGTTCTGCTGAAAAGTAACCAAAAATTCAACCTTAAAAGATACATACATGTATCTGACGATAATAAATAGATGGCAAATTGTTTTAAGAGAGTATATAATATATATTATGGATCAATGGTGTTGTTAGATTGCACAACAAAAGCATTGGCCAAAAGACAATTACTTTTTGTGTATGAAATAAGATATGTCACTGTTCTGCCAAATATGAAGTAAAAAAGTAGAAGATAAAGAAATTGAAAAAGAAGATGTAATAAAATCTGAATTTGTGAAGAATCACAAGTCTCTAAATAACTAGTAAAAATAAATAAATTGCAAATCTTTTTACCTGTAAAGATTAAGGCCTGAAAATCCTAAAAGTGAAGTACAGAAAGGAGGCACCTTTTAGTGAAGCAAAAGCATTTTTTTTTTGGTGGGGTGGG